ATTCACTGTCCAGCTTTCGGGTATAAATATGGATGTCTTTAAATCAATTGGCCAGGTAGCCATCTTCCAAATTTTGTGGCATAGATGATTAACTGTTTATAGCACTGCACTTGTTAAAAGGTATCCATTTATTTCCATCAATTCCTGGAGCCTTGTTTGTTGTCAATGCCTCCAATGCAGCTTGGAATTATTTCCTCATTATCAGAGGATATTGATCCTATGATACCTGTTGAAATGGCTGAACATATATTAACTCTATTTGACACAATGAACCTGTGTATTCCATATACTTGCTTTTGATGTTTCCTGGATCATTTAATATTTTGCCCACAAACATTGCAATCCAAAGCTGAATTCTTTTTCAGTTCTTTCAGCTCAGGAAATGTTAAGTGTGATCGTCCCCTTTGGTTTTCTAACCCCAGATTTTTATACATTTCTTTCTAATACTTTGTCATCTCGACTTTCCCTTTGAAATTTTCTGTTTAGCTCTATTACTTCATCATTTCTTTCAGTTGCTTTAAGAATTGCTACATTCAAGAGCAAGTTTCAGAGTCTCTTCTGACATCTACTTTGTCCTCTACTTTCTTTCCTGTCTTTTTAATGATGTCATCTTCTTCAAAGATGATATTCTTTATGTCATCCAACAGCTTCTCAGTCTTTGGTCATTAGTGTATAAGGCATTAAGTCTGTTCCTGAGATGGTCTCTAACTTCAAGTGAGTTATACTCAATGTCAGATGTTGGCTCTTATAGACTTGTTTTAATTTTCTTCAGCTTCAGCCTGAACACGCAGTAGAATGCTTCACAGTCTGACCTTCACCTTACTCTGGTTGATGCTACTGAGCTTCTCCATTGTCTCTTCCCACAGATATTGTTAATTTGATTCCTATGTATCCATCTGGTGAGATCCACATGTATAGTCTCTGTTTATGTTGTTGAAAAAAAAAAGAAAAGACTTGATAACAGGTGCTGGTGATTGAAATGCAAATGCTGAAAACAAAGGGGAAGGATCAGTAGTTGGGAAATATAGCCTTAGTGACAGAAATGACTGGTCTTGCAAAATTGTACCATGCAATCTCCAGAAACTTTTCTATGATTAGGTAAGCTTTATTAAGAGGTATGGCACACTCACTTTCTATTTGTTTTTAGTACTGAATAAACAGAGTGACAAATAGAAAGTTAATGATTTTAACAGCTGTGATTCAAAGATAGACCAAGCATTCATAAAACAGTGTCCAACAGTAGATGCAAAGTGCAACATCACCTTATAAATGTCAAGGATAATAGGCAGCGCAGTGAGAAAAAACCCAAGACAAGAATGATGCTGAGGCATATACATTATCCACTGAGATGAAAGAGTGTCTTAACCCTGGATATCTTAATCATGGATTGGAGTTGTTGTTGTTAAATGCCATCTAGTTGTTTCAACTCATGGTGACTCTGTTTCTGAGGGGCAGCTGGGTGAGTTAGAACTGCTGGCTTTGCGGTTCAAACAGACCTTGCAGTAAAGCACATTATCCTGCAGCGCCACACCAGGTCTTCAGTCTTGGATTGGACAAGCTTTATTAAGATGTATGGAACAATGTGGAGTTTGGTGTGGCGCTACAGGGTAATGTGCTGGACTGCAAGGCCAGTTTGAACCATAAAGTAAGTGGTTCAAACCCACCAGTTACTCCTCAGAAACCCTATACATGGTCTCCATGAGTCAGAACCATCTAGAAGGCACTTACAACAACATGACACAATTATTAAGAGATATGGCACAATAATTTTCTATTTGTTTTTAGTACTGAATAAAAAGAGTGGCAAAGCGCTATAGGATAAGCACTGGACTGCAACATTGATTTGAACTGAAAGGTAACAGCTCAAACCCACCAGCAGCTCCTCAGAAACCCTATACAGTGTCGTTATGAGTAGGAACTGTTTGGACAGCACTTAACACCAACAGTCACGAATTAACTATGGTAGGGCACAAACTGAGCTTTTTTTTTTTTAATGGAAATCAATTGTCTATGAATTTCTCAAAGTATTTTTTGGTGAAGTATCACTTTTTTTTTTCCTGTTCACCTGTTAATGAAGTACCTGGGTTTATAACTAGAAGGTTGTTTAGGCTAAAATGAAGAAAAAGTTCTAATCATAATTTCTGATAGTAATCTGGTTCTGAAATACCAAACTGAACAATCAATTTTGAACAAACAAAAACAGGGAGGATGGGCTCAAAAGACTATTTTCTGACTTTGTATCTGTTTACCTTTCCTGTTTGTGTCTTTCTGCCTTTAAAAACAAGTCAGAACTGCTTATGGGAATACAAACATGTTAGATACAACTTAATGGTGAAAATTTGTTCACAAATTAAATTAGGAGTGACATAAATATTAGAAAGCTACTTCTTATATTTATTTTGACTTATTCCAGTATCATTTCACTTTAAAAATATTATAACAAAAGCTAAAACTTTTCAGGACTTTATTTGAAACACAACTGTACATGGGCTCTTGTATGGTCTCCTTCCAAGGCACTTTTCTCTT